CTGCACTACTCTCGAAATGTGAAAAACGAGAGTGAATCTTCCGCTAGAATTCGGAAAGATACACCGCCAAGATTTTTGTCTTTTGTGCATGTCGAGAGTAGTGCAGCAACGCCCTATATTTTAGGTCCATTCTTGGGATTGCACCTCGGAAGTATCTTGTCTGGCAGTCTGTCCAGATACATGTAGTGGAGCAAGGTCCATTCGAGATAGATAGAGAGAAGAATATGGGCCTCGCTGCACTACTCTCGAAATGTGCAAAGCGAGAGTGAATCTTCCGCTAGAACTCGGAAAGATACACCGCCAAGATTTTTTGTCTTTTGTGCATGTCGAGAGTAGTGCAGCAACGCCCTATATTTTAGGTCCATTCTTGGGATGCACCTCGGACGGCTCTGAAATCACAATTCCAAAATCCGAACCCATAACGCTTTTCCACAGATGGCAGGGACGTCGCAGAAGGATATAATCTCAGCAGAGTCTCATCAGAAGCATAGTGTTCCCCTCGTGGCTGAGGGTGAAAGAGCATCAGATGTTGCCAATGGTAACTGGTCCATTGGACCACAAGATGACAAATTGGATTAGGGGCCTACCCGACCCACATCTGAGGAAAAACGCATGGCTGTTCTCCGCTGCTGATCTGCATAGATCAGTGGCGGATATCGTCTGCCCGTTTTTCTTATAGAAATGGGGTCCTGGCCGATCTTTGCCGCTGATCTGCGACGATCGGCGGCCAAGATTGGCCACTTTCTGTACTTGAAAAATCCGGGCCTACAGGACCCGGTGTCGAAATTGCGGGGCATGGCCCGCCCCCACGAGGCCTTGGGAACACATACGAGCCGACAAAAAAAAAAATTCAGCCCCCAGCGAAAATGCGCTGGGGGCAACCGGGAGGGAACCGGCCCGGGCCACCGGCCGGTCCAACCGGAAGGACCGCGGATGGGGTAGGGGTCCCCGGTCCATCCGGCGACCAGCCCTGATTCAAACTCATGACCTGTTTATCCACAGTCACATGTGTCTACCACAGTTGCTGGTTTATTTTCTTTCCTAACTCGTCCTTTAGGAGCCGCCTGTTCCTGAACCCGCTCATTGAAGTACGAAAGGGAGAAAGGAATGAAAACTTCAAAAAATAAACTTAAAAAAAAAGGGAGAAAAGAAGGAAACTCGAGACTGCAGTTGGACATTGGAAATGTCTCATCGATGGACATCCGGCCTGAGAAGTATCTGCATTGTTCTTTTCTTGCTTTGGGAGACTTTGAAACCAGTATACCTAAGGTTATGCCCCCGAAGCAACTCATGTGAGCCTATGCACTGTCCTGGGCCGGGGCCCTGAGGCGAGAAGTTTGGGCCTATGGAGTCCAGGATGGGAAAAAAACTGTGTACTTTTGGTGCCAGATTCTTTTCGACCATCCTTTTTTTTTTTTTGCTATTTTATTGTGCATTGCCACTACGCATGGGGAGCCTGGAGGCAGCACACGAACTGCCGTGGCGGATGGATTTCACAGGGATCAGCAATGATTTAATGGAAGCTGTGGAATGCAGTGCGGTCAGGTAAGGGACAAGTGCAGGGAGGTGGAAGTGGAAGTGGATACTATACCTGCTTGATGGCTGGATGGTACACATGTAACAGTTGATAAGCAGATCAGCAGTTCAACTCCTGTCGGATACAAAAAAGGGGCTGCCCCGTGCTTGAAAACCAAAAAGTAGAAAAGGGAGTGAAAAAAAACAAATAGGAAGTGTTGCAGAGGTGATTGCCAATTTGCCATGGCATATATATTACATAGTCTGGTTGACGTGAAAGGTGGGAATGCAGTGGGTTAGGGTGAGGGACCCAGGTTGCAAGAACGTGATATTAGGTGGTGAGTACAAATGGTCTTGTGGCAGATGTGCAGTAGCCCAGTTGGTCATCACCCGTGTTCGACAGGTGCCAGTGTTGCAAGACACAGGCTGCGGATTCGAGTCCTGGCAGGCTCGAATGAGTGCCCGCAATTGGAATCCGCCATATTCGTTTGCACCACGTTTGCATCCCCGACTGAGTACCCCACGGGGGGATGGTCGAAAGGCTGTGTAGATGTTGTATGGGGGGTCCCGCCTGTCGAGCATCCTGCTGGCCGAGCTTACACCATACACAGTTGGGGGGGGGAGAGGGTCACTGAGGGACTGGGTACCATTGGGAGGCTCCCGCCCTGGAATGCCCCGCTCTGCCCTGGGTGTGTCGTGGGAATGTGATTATAGCACTGGCCGTCAGGGTAGGGCCTGCCTGTACCTCAGCCTGCACAACCTTTTTTATTTTTAATTAAAAAGAAAAAAACAACAACAATGGCCTTCTGTCCAGTACGTGCTTCCTGAGCGTCAATTGTGAAGACTGTGGAGAAGCTTCCAAGCGCAGAATGAAAGGACAAGTGTGGAATGAAAGTACAAATGCAACAGGTGGTGACATTGTGTACCAACAGTCAAGTGAACCTCTTCTTCTTCCTCCTGCCCTTCACCAACTCCCTTCACCAAAAACGTTTCACAACGGATTCTGAATTGTGCCCAACTGCCTTAGCTCAAACTTGAATTTGCAGCGACTCAACAGCTGTAAACTGAAACTTTCCAACCCGACCACTGGCGTCGGTTCCTCCGATCGACGGCTGTGCTCCACACGGATCGTGAACGATGCAGCCAACACATCCTCCTGGCATGGGAACTTCATGTACCGACCAGATATACGAAGTGGTGCTATGAACCTCCCAGTTCACCACCAATGAGCGCACACAATCACACACCATGCACAAATGACATCACACAGAGTTCACACTGGAGGTCAGAGAGTCAAAGACCAGGTAAGTGCAGCTTAGAAATTGCGACAACTTATCATATGAGCACTTCCGGTCACAAGCGCTCAACAGCGCAGACCCAAGTATCCAGTAACCAGTGTCATCACTCATTGTAAGTGTCTCTCCCAATGCTCTTCCTCCTCTCTTGGTCTTCTCTGTGTCTACTACCTCCCTGTATCTTTTGTCCCTACTTGCATGCACTCACAGTAACAGCTACTCAAGGACCAACTCTGAATACACCCCGACTGCTAACTCTACTAACCACACTGAGGTCTACTACTAACACTAGCACTGGCGCAGCTAGGGCTGCATTCCCTCTGCCAGCGCCGGGGCAGCGATGACTGTTCCCTCTCTCTCTCCCTCTATCAGCACAGCTCCTTGGCTCAGCGCTCCGCCCCTCACAATAGCGCACAAGTGCACCAGCACTTCCACACTTCATGCGAATGAGCAATCTGCCGAATGAGGAGGCTGGGCAGTCCTTATATTGTCTTGGACTGAGCTTCAGCCCGTCCCAGCCTCTGCTTCTTGGGGCTTGACTCGGTTCTGGTACCACATCCCCACGGCCTGTTTGCTTCAGAATGTCAGGGCCTGGTACTTTTCCCGAATTTTCATTGGCGTGCTGCTGCTTGGGCCTGTGAGTCACGACTTTTCATTTGTGGAACATGACTTTTGACTGTGGGTTGTGACTCCTGGCTCTGGGAGACGACTTTTGCCTGGGGAAGTGTCCTTTGCCCGTGGGATGTGACTTTTCAATATGACTTTTCATTACGAGACGTGACTTTTGCTTAAAGAACACAACCTTTGCCCCTGGGATGTGTCTGTTCACCGGGTGCCTGTTGGACTTGACTCCTAAGGTACCCGACTGTGACTTCTCTGAAACTGACCGTCGTGGCCGAAGACCTTGACCCTGAAACTCGAATTTGGGGTCTGAATCGTGGAAGGCCTTTCAGTGGTACCCAGTGGATGGTGCATGTGGATGTCACACGGGTCCAGTTTGAGACTCATGAGACCAAACTGAGAAAATGTTGAGACCGCCAAGGGTGGAAACACAAAGGGCTTACTCGCACAAGGATGTTCTCAAGCAAATCCGGATCTATTTGTGGCCACAAACATCTCGGAAAGTCCTACTGTGAGTATACCCAAAGACATGAGCAGAAAACGTTGAAGAAGATGAGTTGATGAGTCCTCCAGGACAGGACTGTTAAAATTGGAATAAGTATAGAGAAACTTAGCGCATTAAAAAAGAAAGAAGAGAGAGAGAGAGAGAGAGAGAGAGAGAGAGAGAAACTTAGCATGACCATGCTCGTCTTTTTTTCGATTTTATTTCTTATCTTGAAGATGGTGAGGAATTTGGCGATGGTTTCTGCAATTATTTTACACACGATATAGCTTTTTCGGATTTTCTTCTAGGCTATCTCGAGAAGTTGAATGAACAGAATGTATC